GGGAATGGGCAACCTCCAGCATACCTAACTCTACCTGTACGGTATGACTGGTTTTATTTATTTGGCCTATATATTCAGGATCAGTGCTCATTATTGCAAAAAATACCATAGTCTCCATGCTCTGCTTGAAAGTTTGCCATCTCTGTGAAAAGATGAGGAGCAGGGAATAGTGATTTGGTGTTTGACTATTGAATGATCTATTTTATCTTCCCTATTTTTTTTCCAAATATTATCTTGCTACACTAATGTAAGAAGAAAAGCAACCAGAAAGATCTCCATTCCAAATCTTCTTACACTGTGAGAAGATTTCCATCTATCTAGCCATCTCTCAGTCTTTTTTTCTATTTGAGAGAACTTAACATTACACATTTACAATGTGAACTGTATTGAGTTGACATTTTCTAAGATTTATATATATTTGATTCACTATGATTCTTAGTTGAGGATGAAATATATCCCAACGGCTGAAAGGATATATACTTGCAAAAAAAGATAAATTCTGCAAAAATATAAATTGTAAAACACACGTTAAGTAAAAAAGATTTTAACACAGGTTTTTTGTGTGTTCGTTTATTTGTTTGTTTTAAAGAAGAGCTACTGGACTTTTATTTATTTAGGAACCAGTAGATGGCGTAATGGTTACATCACTGGATTCCTACATAGTTGACCGTGGTTCAAGTCCTAGATCTGGCAGCTTAAAACTCATACTGGGCGTGTGTGTGCGCACACCTAAAATTCCAAGAAGAGAATGGAGGAAAAGGGATTGCAGCATGGCCACCGCCCTGGGGGGTGATTTCCCTCTTTCTGTCTTTTTGTCTCTCTGGCAAGCACACGTACCCTATAGCAAAAATCTCTCTTAAAAAATATTTTTTACTTATTTACTTATTTGGTTTTTGTCATAGGGGACATGCATTCTCTGGAGAGAGAAAAAGAAAGGGAAAGTGAGAAATCACTGCCCAGGGGTGACAGCCATGCCACGATGCCCCTCCTCGATTCTCCTCGGGATTTTGGGTACACATGCACATGCACCTGGCATGATTTTCAAGCCACCAGGTCCAGGACTCAAACCACACAGCTGATCACGTGGGAGTTCAGTGCCTTAACCACCATATCCCCTGCTGGCCCCTTAACATAGATTTTTTTTTTTTTTTTAATAAGAGTTTCACATTTTTCTTTTCCTCTGTGACCTCTTAGGGGATTTTGTCTTCTCAGAAACAACCTACATGTCTCTGATTTTTCAGACAAGATCAGACTTGAAGAAGGAACTACCAATTGTTCTGGACGTGTGGAGGTCTGGCACGGAGGATCGTGGGGGACGGTGTGCGATGACTCCTGGGACATTGACGACGCTCAGGTGGTGTGCCGACAGCTGGGCTGCGGCTCAGCTCAGGAGGCGCTGAAAGAAGCAGCCTTTGGTCAGGGGACTGGACCCATATGGCTCAGTGAAATGAAGTGCAAAGGAAATGAGTCTTCCTTGTGGGATTGCCCTGCCAGGCCCTGGGGGCACAGTGACTGTGGGCACAAGGAGGACGCTGCTGTGAGGTGCTCAGGTGAGTGCTAGAAGCCGGGCTGGAGCTCGGACTCTCTGGCGGGAAGGAGGTGTGGACAGTGAAGTGTGTTGTGTAAAGGCCAGAGAGATCGACAGAGGATTTGGTGGGGAGAGTCACGAAGTTTCCACCTGAAGGAATCATGAGATGCTGTTGATTACGTTTGCCTTCACAAAGGAAAAGCCCACAATCTACGCGTACCTCTACGCGCAGAGAAGCCAGACTAGGAGGCTCTAGCTTCAGCCGGGAAGAGCCGCTGCTTTGGCGGAGAGGCGCTAAGGGCTCAGACAAGGATATGGTAGGATTCGCTCTGGATGTCACTCCCAGAATTAAGCCTCTTTCTCTTTTCTCCTGCAGAGATTCCAGAGATCAAAGAACCACTAAATACTGCAGGTACTGCCTGGGTTTAGGAGCGTGGGATCAATTGTCTGCCTGACTTAGAATCCTGCTTGCTTAGACAAGTAGGGTTGGGTCGGCAGGAATTTTGAAGATTTGACCTTTATTTCTGGGGTCCTGTACCTGACTGAAGAGAGAGAAGTGGGTAGAATTAGTAACTCGTCTTTTAACGAAGACCTCCTCCTCTCTCCTGATGCTCACTGTCGTCTAGGTCACAAGTTCCTTACTGCTTTCGGGATCATCCTGGGGATCGTTCTGTCGGCTGGTCTCATTGCATTGCTCTTCTGGATTCAGAAGCAAAGACAGAGGCAGCGGCTCACAGGTCTGACCCACGTTGCAGTCTCTCTAATGTGCTCATAGCGTAAGAGCTTGCTTGGGAATATACATACACATCAAACCCCAGACTCAAGTAGACTAAGGCTCTATTCAGTTTCTCAGAACAGAGGGATCAAGATTTCAGAGGAGAAAAGGGGTTTCAGTCTTACTGGTAATTCCTGTGCTCTTACCTGCATGCTTAATTGGGACATTATAGAATTGTTAGTTCAGAGTGACTGTGCTATACACGGCTCACAGTGAGGCCAGCAGGTGGCAACAGCGGCTAAGGCACTGGATTCCCACATGGCTGCCTGAAACTCACACCAGGTACAAGTGCGAGCATGCCCAGAATCCCAGGAGGAGAGTGGAGAAGGGATTGCGATGTGGCCATTCCCCCGCGGGGTGATTTTTCACTTTGCTTCTCACTGTCTCTCTTGGGCTAGCACATGCACCCAGTAGCAAAAAACTTTAAAAGAAAAAAAGCTGGACCAGCAGTTGGCATAATGTCTGTGTCATTGGACTCCCATGTAGTTGACTGCAGTTTTAGTCCCAGACACATGTGCGTGCGTGCCCAAGATCCCGAGAGGAGAATGGAGGAGAAGGGATTGTGGTGTGACCATCCCCCAGGGGGGGTGATTTCTCGCTTTCTGTCTCTCTGTCTCTGTCTCTCTCTGTCGTTCTGGTGAGCGCATGTGTCCTATAGCAAAAACCCTCTCCAAAAAAAAAATAAATAAAAGCTTAGAGCGAATCCTATATTTGCCCAAATATTCATTAGTTCTTACTACAATATAATACCATTATTACAAATTTCACTGTTCTGTGAAAAAAAAGTGCCAGGGTCTGACAATACAGACATTGATAATAAGGTATTTTCATCTTTGTGGAACTTCAAGTCTAGCAGGAGGGATATACACACTGCAACGCAGCATTATACATAAACACCAATAGGAACAGAAGTGGCGCAGAGAAGAGTGGAATTGACTGAAAGGGGACGGGGAGTCCCAGAGGCTTCCAAGAGGCTTTTGAGACCATTTTGAAAATAACCATTTAAAGAACTGATTAA